AGAACCCATGAAAGAAAAATACAGAGAAACACAAGATGATAACCAGCCTGGCCCTGCCCCTCCTTAACTCGTTCCTCACCTTTCCTCATTAACCCAGCCTTGCAAATTAGATCTCGAATGACCAGCCCAAATATGCTGAAGTCTACCAGGTGACCTCCCAGCTAAGATTACTAGGGCCCTTCCACCACTCGTTGCATCCGCTCTCCTAGTTAGGGCAAAGGGCTCCCATTCCATGGTCACAAATGGGTACACTGAGGCCCAGAGAAAGGTTGGGAATTGGTCGGGCCATTCAAATCCAGGAGTATTCCAGCCTGGGATTCTACCTACCCAGGAGGAAGACTGGGGAAGTGGAGGTGGGACCCAAATTGTGAGACCTTCCCACCCATCCTCCCACCCAGGCCTCACCTTGGGCCTGCATACGGGTCCGGACCAGGGCCAGGGGGTAACTGGCTATCTGGCCACAAGTGCTGGAGATAGTGCCACAGGCCAGGAGCACGAGGATGCCAGGGTCAGCCGAGTCATGGCTATATTGCTGGAGCCACCGGTTCTTCAGGGTCTGAGGTGAAGAGGGGAATAGGGTGGGTTGAAGGTGGGTGACACTAGGACCTTGGCTTCAGAGACCTCGCTATATCCCATGACAGCTAGTTCAGCACTTTGTACCCCTAAATGCAACACAATCATTTTACCTGCACCTTCTCACTCATTCCCCACCTCTACCCTCTATGGTATATGGAATGATGGCTCCCCTAGTCCCTGGATCATGTGAATATGGAATCTTACATGGCAAAAAGAATTTTGCAATGGGATTAAGTTAAGGACCTTGAGATGGGAGATGATCCTAGAGTATTCAGGTTGGTTCAATGTCATCACAAGGGTCCTTATAAGAGTCAGAGAAGCCCTGGCCAGTGTGACTCAGTTGGTTGATGTTGTTTCATGCACCGAAAGTTTGCCAGTTCGATTCCCAGTCAGGGCACATGCCCAGGCTGTGGGCTTGATCCCCAGTAGGGGACATGCAGGAGGCAGCCAACTGATGATCTGCTCTCACATCGATGTTTCTCTCCCTCTCCTTAGACATTCCCAGACCTGCCTTTTTGTCCACTGCTACTTTTGATTACATAGCCTGCTTTATTATCTTCTGTGAGTGCATCAGGATCTAAAATTACTTATTTGCTGGTTGACTGGCTTCCTAGTTTGTTGAAGTGGTTTCCAGGAGGGCAAGGGCTGTGTTGTTCTCGTTTGATACAGCAGCCTGCCCAGTGCCCAGCAAATATGGGGTCCCGACTATCATGTGTCCTGAGACCCCGGAAGACTGAACTGCAGGGGTAAGTGAAAGAGTGAGGCTATCTAATGCCTGAAAGGGTTCCCCAGGGTCCCCAGGTCCATGGTGCTTCTCTACCCCAGGATTGTCTCCCCTGGTTCTGGAGTTCAACTGAGTCAGCCCCACAGGAATGGGTGGCCTGTGGGCAGATCCCAGAGGGAAGAAGAAAGGAGAGAGGGGCGGGCTGCCCACAGACCTCGTAGACGGCCAGGTCGATGCCCGCGTAGGGAATGATGCCCAGCACGTTGGGCAGGTAGCCATGGTAGAAGGCACGGGGTCCTTCTCGCTCCATGATCCGCCATGCACAGTCCAATAGCCCCTTGTACTGGCCCGTCCGGCGAAGGGTCAACCGTGTCTTTAGTACCTGGGGAGAACCCGGTTATCCCTGGGAAGTTGCCTCTGGAATCACTACACCCAGGAAGGAAGACACCTATAATAGCTACTCCTGGAAGGAGATACCCTGAGAATAAGTGAATTTAAAAAACCGCTTTCTCTGGAATCTTCTGGTATCTCTAATCTCCATACTTAAAAATGGTTACATGTGGCAGCCACTGCTAACAGTCTTCCAATATCATGGTCCCTTCTCCCTTAATAAAAGAAACGATAATTTTCAGGAAATTATGGTCCATAGCCTTTAGAAATAAAGACTACATTTCTCAGTTTCCCTAGGCGTAGGGCCATGTGATTAAGCCCCAGCCAATGAAACAGAAGCAGAAGGAGAAGAGGTATGAGTAACTTTCGAAAAGCACCCTTAAAGGCAGGGAGATGTTCTTTTTTCTGTCTATTCTTCCTTCTTGGCTGGAATGTGGATGTGATGATGACTGGAGCAAGAAGTCATTTTTGTCCACAAGGTGGATGCTACATGCGGAGGTGGTGGAACAAGATAGTGGGAAGGAGCCTGGGTCTCTAACACTTTGAAGCCACATGCCAGCACTGAACCGCTCACCGTTAGACTTTGCTTATGTGATTTGCGTTTTCCACCACTCAGAATCCTACCTGACGCACTACACAACCTAAAACCTAAAATGATTTCTCTGAAAACAGGTTTACCTAGAAATGATACCCTTGAGAACAAGCATTTTGGAAACCAACATCCTTAGAAGAGGTATGTCCATAAATGGCTTCTCCCACAATGGCCGTCTAAACAGTTACAACCAACACCACCATCCCCAGAAGTCACATCTCAAATTGCAGTTCCCAGAGAGGCTAGACATGAAACAGCACTGCTGTAACGGGCTACAGTCTGAGTCAGGGAGAGGCAACGTTACAATCCCAATGCTTATCACACCATGAAGAGAAATGATGATTGCAGGCCTCCCCACCCTGCAATGGGGCCTCAGTCAGGGTCCCCCGCTTCTCACCTCCATGGGGTAAATGATGGTTTGGGCTGTAGCACCAGCCAAGGATCCAGCCACAAAGCGCTCCTGCACATGCAGTGTCTCCTGCTGTCCCCGAATGGCCCGCTTGAACTGAGGGTGGGAGACACAGCGGTGGGCAGGACCTCAGGGGGTGAGCTTTCCATGCACTTGGACCGCCCCTTTACTGTCCTCCTGTCATGGGCATCATGCAGGGAAACAGATGTGCACTCCTGGGGACCTGCAGACATCCCCTGCCCCCAAGCCAATCCTCTGAATCCGAACTCATGCCTCCCCACAATTGCCCCCACCTGCTCATAGGCCATGAACTTGATAGCTGACTCAGGTGCAATCTTGAGCACATTGATGCCGTTGCCACGCCATAGAGAGCTCGCGCCCCCCTCTTTGATCATGTTCCGTAGGCCCCCAAGGATGTTCAGCTGGTTGGTCTTGGAGGAATGGACCTATGCAGGGAGACAAGGTGACTTTGCAGTCCCGTCCAGGGCCCAGGTCTCAGGAAGAGGGTGTGTCTCTCCAGCGCCCCTTACCTGCATGAAGACCTTGAGACGGTCCAGAGGGGCTGTGCCTGTCCGTGACACGGCGCCCGCCACTGCACCGGCCACCAGCTGCTTCCACCACATGCCGGTCAGCTTCTCCTGCTCTGAAAACTCATCAGGGATAGTCAGGCACTCGCCAATGTCCAGGACCTGAGGATGCAGGGGTGGAGAGATGTAACACAGCTCTAAACAGGGGTGTCTCCAAGAATCCTCAGACACCCAAACAGTCCATCAATGAATCTTGGAGATTCCCTACCAGATCCCACCAAAACATCCAAGTCAGTCATCTGTCTCTCATGTAAGATCCTAATATCCCTCCTTGGGGACTTTGACCAAATCCCATTGAAGGATTTGCCACATAAAGATCCCTCCAGAGCCAATCGGATCCCTCTGAAGGATCCCACTTAAGGGTGTCCCACATAAGGATTCCAGAAGATCCTTCCAGGGCCACAGAAGATCCTACAGGGGACCTCTCAGATAAGGCTCCTCGCAGATCCCTCCCTAGGTCTCACCAAATCCCATAGGGATTTCTCCCACAAAGATAATCCCTCCTCTAGAGTCCGCCTATAAACTTCCCAACCAAGCCCCTCCATGAATCCCCTCATGAATTTCTGCACCTCCCAAGATCTCACCATATCCCACAAATGGATCCCCTCCAAAAGCATCAGTTCCTATCAGAAACACTGTTCAGGAATTCCCCCTCCCCCGGAAATGGCAATCTAGAGCACCCCTCCCAAATTCCCGTGGATCCCATTGGAACCTCTGGAGGCAGTGGCTTCTTGTCTTTTCAGCAGCAGAATCCTTAATTGAGGCATTTAAAAACCAGAAAGGGAGCTGCGTGGGTTGAGGGTAGGAGGCCAGGTGCCCTATTTGGTGAGCTCTTTCCTCCCTGCGCTCCCAGTACCCACAGCCTGCTCCCAGAGGCCCCTCAGGAAGTCTCAAGGGCTCCAATCAGATTGCAGAGACCTCCCCAAAGGGGTCCTCAGCCCCCCAGTTCTGGATGGAAGGAAAGAGGAGCTGAGTCTCATTCCTTGGCTGCTCCCAGTGGCTCCTCCTTCTAGAGCAGTGGTTCTCAACCTTCCTAATGCCGCGACCCTTTAATACAGTTCCTCATGTTGTGGTGACCCCCAACCATAAAATTATTTTCGTTGCTACTTCGTAACTGTAATTTTGCTACTGTTATGAATTGTAATGTAAATATCTGATATGCAGGATGTATTTTCATTGTTACAAATTGAACATAATTAAAGCATAGTGATTAATCACAAAAACAATATGTAATTATATATGTGTTTCCCGATGGTCTTAGGAGACCCCTGTGAAAGGGTCGTTCGACCCCCAAAGGGGTCTCGACCCGCAGGTTGAGAACCGCTGTTCTAGAGCATCCTGACCCAGCCCCTCCGTACCCTGGGGAGACCTGAGCTAGGCCCCCAGGGGAGGAGGAAAGCCACCCCCACCTCACCGTGGAATGCTTCCAGAAGTAGAGCACATCTTCCATATTCTCCAATGAATGCAACAGGAAGTGGTCACGCCATTCCTGCCAGTCGATAGTCATAGTGCCGTCACGGTCCATGCTGGGGGGTGGGATAGAATCAGTGCCTGATGCTGGGGTGGGTGGGGGTGGGGGGTGGGCTGGAGTGAGGTTCTGGTTGGATTTGGAGGTAGACCAAGCTCGACTGCACTGAGAGCTGGCCATTTTACAGTGGGGGAAACTGAGGCTCAGAGCAGTGAAGCAACTGGCCCAAGATGGACTTGACTCCAAAGCTCAACTTCTCAGCTCCGACCACCCTGGTACTTGGTCTAAGGCCCAGAGGCTCCAGGCAATCAAGGGATCCCAGGGGCCAGAGTTACCTGGGATTCTGGACCCCAACTACTCACCTGTGTAGAATTTTCTGTGCCTGCTCCAGAGAGATAGAAATGCCCAGAGCTCGGAAACTCTGCTGGATCTCAGAGACATCGATCTGACCTGGGAACCAAGGTGGGGAAGTGTGTGTGTGTGGGGGGGCCCTGAGGCCGAGGAGCAGGACAGTTTGAAATGGGAGTGGTTTAGCAAGACTGGGGATCCAGAAACCTGGGTGAAGTTTGTGGCAGGGTTGGAGAATCCCTGCCTTGCTGGGATCAGAGAAGTGGGACTGGGCAATGTTGGGGGATCCTCTGATCCATGAATAAATGAAGAGGTGAACGTCGGGGTAATTATGGGGCTCCCTGCACCACAGAGGATCAAGAGGTGATATTGGAGACCTAGAAGACACTATGGGGAGGAGGGTCTCTGTTCCATAGGGAATCCGGGAGCAACAGGGGGGCTCTTTGTCCCTTTAAAAAATCTAAGGGTAAATAATAGGGGTCTCACTCCAGGAAGAGAAGGTTTGATGGGCTGGCTGGGCCCCAAACCACCTACCTAGCTGGGGGTGAGGAGGGTTCCCAAAATAGCCTGTGAGTCATCAGGGAGAAGCGGGCCTTACCCCTCCTCCTGGCATCACCAGTTCTATGCCCATTGGCGTCTCCCCGGCTCCCACAGCCCCATCCCTGGGCCTTACCATCCTGATTCCGATCCAGACTGTGAAAAAGCAGCAGCAGGCGCTGTTCCCGCTCCTGCAGGTATTGGGTAAACTCTTCAAGGTCCAGCCCGCCATCTGGGTCAGCACCACCCTCTGGGGAGAGGCCCTGGCAGCGGGGAAGGGACAAAGGGAGCTCCAGGAGGCTGCTTCCCATCTGGAGAGGGCATAGCCAGCGTATGTCCCAGGAACCCAGCGCCCCTGGTGTCTAGAGGACAGGGACAGGGGCATTCACCCCTCCCTCCGTCGGCTGGCTTGTCAGCAAGCTGTCCAAGGCCACAGTAGGGCTCTGGGGTGGATAGCGGTTGTCCAGTTTTCCCGGACAGCAAACTGAGGTTCTCCAAGGTCAAGGAACTCATTCAAGGTTACCGAGTTGGGAAGTGGGAGGTAGCACTGGGCTCTTGTCTCTGAAAGCCTGTCCTCCCAGCTGTCTTACAAAAACCTGGCCGTGGCAGTTTCAGCAGCTCCCCTTAGAGACAGCTCTGGGCAATGTGGGGCAAAGACAGGTCCAAGCTGAGCGGCTATAGGGTCTGTGCTTTCCGGCTGGAAGGTTGGACTGGAGGTGTCAGGATGCTATAGAGCCACCCCAGTAGCATCTGGGGCTACAGGTGTGGGGGACACCTGCATTGGCCCAGGGGCAAGTTCATGCTTTGAGAGGTGCATTCCCGGAGGAGGTGGCCTCGGACAGGATCGGGTCCCTGGCTGGGACAGCCTGGGGCACGGAGCCAGGTCTGGGAAAGGGCAGGAATGTAAACAAAGAGGCTGGGGCAACTGGTGGGGAGGGCAGTGGTGGCCCAGAGGAGGGGGAAGGGGAGAGCGTGTCGCCGGGGTGGGAGCAGGGTATGTCTTGGGCTGGGCAGAGTTGACCCGAGAGCGTGTTTGGGGCAGTGGGCAGGAAAACAGACCAGGCTCTATTCTCAGGAAGACATCCCCTGCCTCTGGGGGACGAGGGTGGGGACCCCAGCCGAACCGCAGGCTCCGGGCCACCCTAGCCCCTTTTAGAGCGAACTAGTTAGGCCCAGACACCGGTGGGCAAGGGGAAGGGAACAGAGCCGCCCAGGTTGGGCACAGGTGCTGGAGTGCAGCCACAGGCAGTTCCCGGCGGCTCCCGGCGCTCCATTCAGGGGCTCGGGTTACCCAGCGCCCGCGGGGCGCCAGCGCGGCTCGCCTGGCAGGGGTACCTGTTGGGCGGCGCGGTCCGGGTCGCCCCCACTCAGCCGGGCCAGCCCCTGGCGCAACTCCTGCACGTCCACGCGGCCGTCCTTGTTCCGGTCCAGCTCCTCGAAGAGGCGACCCCAGCGCTGCCGCCGCTCCGCTTCGCCCGGGCCCCCCCGCATGGCGCCCTCCGGGGGGGAGGGAGGCCCGGCAGCGGCGGCTTCAGCCGGGGCTTCGCGGCACCCCCTCCCCCCCGGGGCCCCACAGGGCCAGCTCCGCGGCCACCGCTACCGCAGCCTCCGCGCTGCCGGCCGGGCTCGGGCACTGGCAGGAGGCAGTGACTGCTAGCCGTCGCCGCCCGCGTCAGAACCTGCGTCGCCTTCCCGACCCTCCGGGGGAGGAGCCGGGGCGGAGCTGGGGGCGTGGGGAGGGTTGTCGGGGATGCTCGGGAATGGCACAGCCTAGGGCACAGCCTCGGGGTTCATTCCGGGAAGAGGGAAGAAGCGCCGGGTAGATGCGCGATCTCAGTTCGGTTTCCAGTGTGCCGCCTCCGCGTGCCTCAGTTTACCTTCTGCCCAAGGTGGCACGGTAGGGAGGTATCAGGGGCTGGGCTCCGTCATCTCTTCCCACTGACCTCCCTCTCCTACCAAGGTCTCATTTTCGCCAGCCATGCTCAAGAACCAGCCCAACGCCATCTGGCCCTCCGTCTGCTCGCCGCTCACTGCACGTCCCCCCTCGGCCACAGAGACCCGGGAGCTCGGCGCGGTGCTGCCTCGCGTCCCTTCATGCCGCCCGCTCGCCTTCTTTCTCTGCCCCACTCAGACCGGGAAACGGAAGACCAACGCGCGGCGCAGCTGCAAAGTCCATTTCCTATTCGCCAAACCGCGGGAGCCTTGCCCGCCGGGCCCGCCTTGCCCACCCACCCCGGGCAGCCTCGGGCTCCGCCTCCCCGGGCTCGCCCGGCAGTCTTTCGGGGCCGCGGCCGCACCCCGACGCCGGGCCGAGTGCGCTCTCCTGACCAGCCTCGGGCGGGGGTGCGGGGGGAGGGGGTCTCAGTGTCCCAGGCGCGGCTGGGGACCTGCACCGGGTGGCGGAGCGCAGTAGGCGGGGCCCCAGCCAGTCGTGCCCACGGCAGCTGCCGAACGTCCCTCCCACTGGTTTCGGGCGCAGTTTCGCTATTTATCATTAGGGGGCGGGGCGCCCAGATCACTAGACAGCGGGTAATAATAACAGCTCACACGGACACAGAGCGTTGCTCATGCCAGGCCTTTTACTCACCTCTCGGGTCGCCCCGCCAAGCCCTATGAGGCAGGTGGGACTGGCCTTCCCACTTCCCGGGTGAGGAAACAGGAGACTATGGCGCTCTCCCCAGTCCAGTGCCCAGTAAGGGCACAGCAGGAATTTACCCAGACCTGGGATCCTTACCCATCGCTCTATACCCTAAAAGGGATTAACTTGCCCGTGACCATCCCTCTTCATCCTAGAGTCCCCAAGAGGAGGTCGTCTTATTAATGTCGTTCTTTATCCAAAGATGCAGCCATAAGGACTGGTTTCCACTCAGCTTCTGCCCCAACAGGTGCGTCTCAGACCAACAAGCCTCTTAGAGATGCTTTTATGTAAAGGTGGTCCTTGCAGGTGCCCTTCATCATGGGGGTTACAGATGTTTCCCACGGAGATACCCCAAACAGGTGTTTTCTCAGCTACATCCTGACAGGTGGGCCTGTCAATACACATACACCTCTGTCCTGCTGCCCCCCCGCCCCCCGCAGGTGCTTCAATGTGGCTGTGCCTCCTACAGATCTTCTCAGGTCTTTCTCTCATGTGAGCTCAATTCTATGCAGATGTTCCTCATACAAGACTACAGTGGGGCCTTGACTTACGAGTGTCCCTACTAACGATTTTTTTGAGATACCAGCTGTCTCTCGGCCGATTTTTTTGCATTGAGTTGATAGAGCTCCTTAACGAGCTCTGTCTCAGAACGAATTAAACTCGTAAGCCAAGGCCCCACTGTACTTCCTTCACCTCACAGGTATCCTTCTCAGCAGAAATCCGCCCAGGAATGCGTTATACAGCGTCCCCACCCACACGGGTGTTTTCGTGTTAAGTATACCCCCGTATGGGTCTGTTTCCGTATAACTGAGTCCCATACAGGTGTACTTAAGTGCAGGTGTGTCTCATACCGGTATTGCCAATACATCTCCACACAGGAATTCCTGATCCAAGTGTTGTTCATTCCAGCCATGCAGCCGCGTCCTCAAAACCGTGCGCCGGAACGCCTCAGCCAGGTGTTGGTTACAATACAGCTGTTCTACACAGCTGTTTTCCACACAGGTGTGCTTCTGGCCAGCTATACGCCAAATGGGTGTGCTTCAATGCAGATGTCTCCCACAGGTGTGTTTCTTACCTGTCCTTGCCGATGTCTTTTCTACAGGTTCGCCCCCATGCAGGTATATACCACGCAGGTGTTTTTTCATGAGGGACTCCCCATCTGGGTCGGCCCCAAACAGGAGTGCCTCATACCACCGTGTCTCCATGCCTCGTGTGTCTCCACACCTGTGCGGTCTTACAGACGTCACCGCAATCCACGCGGGAGTTTCCTCTTGCACTTCCGCGCTTCCGCTCCTCTTACTTTTCGCATTACAGGAGTGGGATCCCGGTAACAGTTGCGCATGCGGCCGGGCCCCACCTCCCGCCTGGGTCCGCGCCCACTCATTTCGGTCAGGTGAACAAGCCGGAAAGGGCCGCCCCCCCTCCCAGGCG